CCCGCCCGCGCTGCGGGGCCCGGGGTGCGGGGCCCGGGCAGGCACGGCCCGTGGCGGAACCTCCGGTTGCCGTGTGGCATCGGGCAGCAGCGGGGACTGGTGCTTGCCGTGCCATCTGCTGAGTGAGGGTGGTGAGGATGCTGGCCTGGTCCTTACAAAAACAAAGCGTTCCCCGTGGGAGTTGCGGCACTCGCTGAAGTAGCCGTGGTTGTCACTGAGCCGTATTTCCTTAAACTTTGCGTCCAGCTGTACCTGAGCAGTGTTAGCTTTGTGCAGCGCTCTGCTGTCTCGGGACCAGCGGTCAGAAGGCCAAAAATGTGTTTCTACACACCTGGTGGCAAAGCCTAATTTTGTACTGTTACCACATTCATGCCCCCTCATGTTTCTCTGTAAACTTTTTCATACCGATTAGCCATTCACCTTATGCTCGTGTTTCACTTAGGCATTGTAGATTTACAATTACGAGTTTTATGATTAAAAATAAGTCATAAGACTTTTATTTTCTCCCTTTCTAGTGTACGGTATGAGTTTGTACTCAGATTCATGAGGTAAATATGTCTTTGCATGCCCTGGTAGAATATCATGTAATGGACATGCATATTATACACACAGAGAGCTGAGTGCCTTTGATCATTATTTTGATGCCTCAGTAAAGTAGAGTCTACTGAGAAAGAGTTGAAAGTGTTAGACTGCAAAGCTCAGCCTGTGCTTGAAATGTATTTCCATTTTGTAATGGTTCTGGGTGTACTTGGGTATACTCAAATCTGTCTATTTTTTCTTAATTTTCCCTTAATACCACAGTTAGGATGCACCTCTCAATGCCAGCAAATCTTTATGCTTGTGTATATATATATATACACGTTCATCATGCCATGATGGCTACTAGTAAAGACAAATTATCACACAGGACCCTTTGCTTCTCTTCTGTGATCATAGAGCTTTCCACCTGTGACTGCTTTCCCATCTCCCTTCTTACATACACCACTGCTTTGACTGTTTGGAGTTGGGAAATAAATACTTCTTTTTCAGGCCTGCATGATGCTTAAAAGGCAGTAACAGTTTGTGTTGCTTTCCCAGAGAACTGTAGCTGACTGAAGATGCCTTATGCCATTCATGAGCTTGAAAGCTGTGCAACAAATATCTTTTAATAACTGCTTGAACAAACTGCCAAAAGAAGAAAATGGATGTTCAGACAAGCACTTCCTTTATTGAGAGTACATTGCTGTGCTTTCTGGCCAGGGACAAGCAGTTTGGCAAAGTAGTGTAAATACTTCTAAGAAATGTTTATTGGCATAGTAATTCCTTATAAATAAACCTGTTTGATATTGTAAAAGCATGTTTCAAGACATAAATTTCCCAATTGTGGAATATAGAGCAGTATTCAGTCATTATGTGCTTGGTGCTGGAAAGTTAAAAGTAAAGCCACTGAATAAAGAAAGGAGAAGCTTCCTCGCTAGTTATCTGGGATCAGCTTGAGGAAGTAGAACACTTTTGATAGCTGTAGCCTCTTCTACAGGTAGAGAGTTTTGTTGGGGGGCAGTGGGGTGATCATTTTGGGTTAGCTTGGGTGAGAAAGTAGCTAATTTTTATTTTGGATCAAGAAACCTTGTTTTTAGGAATAATAATTGTGTGAGAAGCTAGAGCTTTCAGATACAAGTTCTTGAATGGTAAGCAAGAAGAGTTGACTCGCTTTGTTTGCTGGAGTAAACCAAGTCCTGAAATTACGTTTGTCTTGTCTTCTCTAGTGGATCTAGTACATTGAAATTAACTTTGTTTAATGGAAACAGTGTTCAGATACTGCTTTCCTGCGATCCTTTTGCACTCAAAGCTGAATTCAAATACAAAATTTTTACTCTTTTGAGGATTTGAAATACAATAAAATGCTAGTTACTAATGTAATACATACTTTCAAGTGCTGTAACTACTTGAGTGCATGCATCCAGCTAGCTGTAAAAGAAGATGCCAAACTGAGATTAAACTAAAGTTGGCACAGCTAATTGCTTACTTGCCCATATTACTTAGCCTTTTTGTGTGAATTAAGGCAACAAAGCGGAGCCCCAAGAAAGGGCAGCAAGTGTGTCACCCTTAGAGTTGCAGAGTCAACTTGAGTCAGAAAATGATCCACTTGAAGGAGTCCTTGGATTGTTTCTGTGTGGACCACCTGATGGAACACAAGCCAAACTCAGTTTGGGGAGTGCTTCCCTCCAGCCAGCTTCCCCATCCCAGGCAGAGCCCAGAGCAGGACTAAATGTAGCCCCAAGAGCTGAAGGCCACTATTCTGCCTGTGGCCACTGCTTCTGCCATGGGGAGAACTGGAGGGAAGGCAGCAGCTGCTGCTTTTGACAGCTTTCACAAATGCTCACTTGCTGTGTTTGGTGCTTTGTGAATACTTACTTTATGCTCTGATAAAAAACAGTGTTGGACATGGAAGAGCTATACATAAGGCTCAGTCTTTACTTTGTCTCATAAAAAAATGTACTCATAAAAAAATTATCTCACATTGAGCAACCAAAGCTAGTTGTTGTTCTGACAGTTTTAATTTTTTCCACATTTCCAGACTGTGGATAGTAAGAACAGTGTGTGCTGTGTTTTGCATAAGTAAATTGTGAAGTGTTGAGATGATGTGGTGATAAAATCCTGTGGTCTAGGGGGGGACGTACACCTCCCTTTTGCATGAGCAAAATATTATTTGCATTAAAAATAAATTGAAAAATTGCTTGCTAAATTAAAGATTTTCCATTTATTGCTGAGGTGGATTATGGATTCTAAGTAATTAATCTTTTATAATCTATTACATTTTTAGATTGAAGAGGGAGAGGATGCATGGGTTTGAAAATTGGAATACCTTGTAACATTGGAGTTTGGGGATTTTATTTTTTTTTTTTAATTTTTCCCTTCTTAAAGTAGCCTAAAGTCACAGGATTTTCTACATGCACCATTGCAGCAGAGCACCACCACTTGCCTTTTTTGATGGTACAGCAAGTACCTTTTATGCAGAATTTTTCGAGTCTGCTAGCATAAATTTTGAGCAGAACTCTAAAGGCTTAAAATAAGTTGTCCCAGAGAACAGCATTTCAGCAATCGTGATACTGTACTCAGTTTGGAAAATCATTGCTCAAGATGGGGATTTATTATAAGGAACATGGTCTCTTGTGGATGAGTTATTTCTGCCCAGTATAACTCAAAGTGAAATCAGTTACCTGAGTCTTTCTGCCAGACTGAATCAGCTTGGCTTAGTTAAATATTTTATAGTGATAGAAACAAATCAGAGTTCTTTTTCAGTGAGTGAGAACAATTTCTGTGAAGAAAGATTTTGGTATGATAGGACAGCTGATGAATTGTATTTCTTTTTGTTGTTTCATATTCAAGGCTTATATGAATCCCATAGCTATGGCCAGAGCACGAGGTCCTGCCCAAACTTCAGGACCAACAATACAAGACTACTTGAACAGGCCAAGACCAACATGGTAAGTGGCAATACTTGTCTGACCTTTTGAGTAAAAGATTTGTTTCCTCTTAATAAGGTGACACTGGTACCTCCCTCCCCCCCAGAATACACATTAATGTGTTTCATAAGATTCTCCGTCTCTTGCCAAAGTGTTCTTTTCTAAATCTGTATTCAGTATCCTCTTCGAGAACCAATAGTATTTCATTTTGAAATGCATGTTTTTCATTTGTCTTTAAATATTTTGGCAACAGTTTCTCAGAACAGGTAAACATTTATCATTTTGCCTTTTTCACACATCCTGATACTTAAGCTCTGCAGATAAATCTCCGTTTTAAACCAAGTAATCTGTAGATAAACATTTTGCTGTTATAGTGTCAGAACACAGTTTATCCTAGCCAACAAAATAATCACTTTTATATACTATCAGCAACTAACTTTACATTCAGTCAGTTTTACCTCTTTCCATAAGACATTAGAGAACAATTTCCCTAATTGCTAAGTTAGCTTTAGGTCTTTCAGAGGTATTTAGCTACCATAGTTAGGTCACCATATGCATAACATCTAAGATGTCATTCTTCTTTCTGTTGCAAGTTCAGCCAAGGTTAAACTTCAAAAAAACCCTTTGAAAAGTTAGACACTGAAGGAGGTGTTTTTAACTGTGAAAATTGTGATCTTTTTATATAGGGAAGAAGTGAAAGAGCAACTAGAGAAGAAAAAGAAAGGATCCAGGGCTTTGGCTGAATTTGAAGAAAGGATGAACGAGGTTGGTACTGTTATTAATATGTTAATACTTAATTCTTCTTATATTATACTTTTTCTCCACTATCGTTATCAGCACCAAGTACCCCTAACATTTCACTTCGCTGAAGCTTTTCAGGAGTAAATGTTCTGGTTTTTTCTATTGGGTGTTAAGATTACCCACCTAACCAGTGAAGAGCTACGTTCCATTCAGAGAAACACAACATAAAAGCTTTTGACAATTGCTGCTCAATTTTCCATGAACATAAGTATAGTTCACAAATGCATGTTTATACTAATAAATTAAACCTGTGCATTTTCCAGTATGATAAACTACAGTATCTTGTGCTCATCTTCACTTGTTTAAGGTCATGTAATCCAGATATATTGGAAAGAGGTGTATTACTGGAAACAGACATCTTTGGCAAGGAATATACATGTGTTACTGATGGGAATATACATGTGTTACTGGTATGGAAGAAGGCACAAAGAATGGCCTTCCAATATACAGATAGGGCTGTAAGGCACTTCTTCCTCTCTCCTCCTAAGTTGATTACATTCCATGCTGGTTCCCTACTAGAAATGCAGCCATTCTGATGCTTGTGTTCAGTACCCAGTGGGGATCAGCACATCTAACTCCTGTTACGTAGGCAGAATTAGTATACAATACATTTAACTGTTCCTTCTTGGGTACTGCTGTCTTGGGGTAAGCTTCAAGTAGTAGTCTTCATTGTGTGTGTAAGCTTCTGATTGAAGTAGATTATGCTCCTTCTGTGTTACTGGAAGTGTGTAGTACCTCTGCTCTTGCTATACCTTTTTGCCTAAGAAGTTGCACTAGCATTCAGAGAGTGATGAGGTGCTGTTCTGAGAGGATCTGTTGTTCTGTGCTCTGTGAATTTAAGCTTGGTAAGTTTGGTTTAGTATTTAATCATATTCGTTTCCTACTTCTATCTTTACTTTATTGTGAAATAATTGAAACTGACATGGATAGAAGAATACAGCCTTTCAGTGTGGCAGAAGGGTAGGAATGGATGCAGGGAATCATTAAATGTCCATGAGTTCTTCCTAAGGCTCCTGAGAAAAAATCTCTGGATAGCTGTAAAGATTTCAAGTCTCCGAATTAGGTATTACCTTTCCTGTTTTACTGACAGATGTGTCAGTAAAATGATGTGTCTTTTTTGTTTAAGACATAACACTAGCACAGTCTTAATTTAAACCCAATGCCTGCCTGATAAAGCATGGGCTGTTGTTAGAAACCCCTCAGGTGGCTCTGGGTAGCTGGTGTATCAAAGTAGATAACCCAGTGCCATACTGTGTAGATGCTGCCTCAGACCATGGAAACACATGGCACACAGCAGTGTATCCTGGCTAATCTGCCATGTCTCTAAGCAGCTAATTCAGAGTACGCTGACTTGGGCATCTCTATATCATATTGCATTGCAAGGTGTAATCTTACTTAATTCCTGATATTTCTGTCCCTTCAGCACAATGTATAGATTATCATTGCTTTGCCAGTATAATACCAGTACAGCTTCATTGTGAAGAAAGGGAGGATCAGAACAATAATTGACAAGGGAGCAATAAGATGTGTCTGGCATAGGAAGCAGGAATCGTGCAGATTGAAGCCAGCAGCTTCTGATGGGAGTGGGTTTGATGTTTCAGAGTTCTCAAAGGGAAGATTTTAAGTAGACTTAGAGAGCTCGTGAAGGATTGAAAAGGAAGGATGAGGGGAGACTTCTATCTGTGCAGTGTGCTTGGCCTAACAAAAATAAGTGTTTCTATATAGATGTGTATAATAATTTAGTATTCCAATCATTGTTGATACTGACAAGGCCCAAAACAGACACTAGAGACACCCATACAGTGAAGAAGAGCCAGGAGAATTTGTCTTGAAACTTTGGTTCAGGTGATTTTAAAACTATGACAAACCAGCAGCTTTTCTGGTAGAGCACCCTGGCTTTCTAAAGTGCTCTAGGAAGAACACTCTTAATGTAAAACTAAAAATACCACAGCTGATGACCTTCAAAATAAATTACAATCTCTTAAATCCAAACAACATTGTGGTGTGAACTAACATCGTATTTCAAATAATACTAATCTTCTGTAAAATCAAGTGTATTAGAGACCTGGTTAACATTATATGCTGTTTATTTTCTGTGGGTTTTGTGAAAATTATATAACATCAGGTACAGGACAAGATTTCAGAAAAGCTGATGCTCATGTCATGTTTCTCTTTGGTTTTGTTTTCAGAATTGGAAGAAAGAACTGGAAAAACATAGGGAGAAATTACTGAGTGGAAATGAGAGTTCCTCCAAAAAAAAGGAGGTAAGTTACTCTTATACAATCTGTGTTTGAAACTGGGATTGTGATCAATGCTGCTAATACAGAATGTCATAAATACATTTTAAAAGCCAGCATCAAAGTATATAAACCTAAATGCACAACAAAAGACAGATACTGAAGTAACATTTGTTTTATTCTATTTTTAAGAAAAAGAAAAAGGAAAAGAAGAAATCTAATAGGGTGAGCAAAATTTTCAGTTTCTGAGTTTCTTTCCTTTGAAGTAGTTACTATTTGCCATTTAAGTTCTCTTGGAAAGGGAGAGTATAGATGTAACTTTGAATCTAGCTGTTAAATGATCTGCTTTTTATTTGAGAGGGGTGGGTTACATGCTCTACAAGGATAATTTTACTTCTGCCTAAACAGAGGAAAAGAGCATGAAATATATGTTACGAAATTAAAAATGTTAGAAGTCACTTTTTACAGTTTTATTTAAGAAAATCTATGTAAAATACCACCTTCTTGGGAGTTAAATTTCATAGGTAATACTGTACAGATTAAGAGGTTTTAAAGGAAGCGTTTGGATGGACTTTTGACTATTTGTCAGACATAATTCTGCATCTCACAAGCTTCACTTTTTGTTGTGTTTGGTCAAGTTGTCTTCATCTTCCTCTTCTTCATCAAGCTCTGATTCTTCCAGCAGTTCCTCTGATTCAGAAGATGAGGTAAGAACTACCTTATTAGATTATTTTTTTCATGAGGCTTATTTAAAACAGATTTTGGTAATATATTTTACAGTATTGTTTGAGGGCTTGGTTTGCATAAAACTGTTTAATTTTATGCATGTGGTACAGATAATAAAGTTGTGAATTTTAGTTATGTACATATTCAAGAATTTCTATATGAACACTGAATTTTTAGGGGCTGGCTTGCAAAGTAGTTCCATTTCTGTTTTAACATTTGTTTGATTTTCAGTAAAATTCCCCATGTAACCATAAAAATGCAAACATACCATTTTTACTTTTTAGCAAAGATCTTTGTTGCAGATAATCAGATTCTACAGCACACATCTAAATAATAAACAGAATCTAGAGAACCTGGATTTTTCACCAGTTTACATTTTTTCAATGCAGAAGAGTTACGAAGGTCCTGCGCTAAAAGAATCAATTGTAGTGTACTTTATTCCTCCAGAGAACATGATAACATGTATGAATTTGATGTTCCCTTTTTTTATATTTATTGTAAGTCTTTAATTCTAGTGGGAATAAATTTGGGGTTGTATTTTTATTTTTTTCCTACAATATTTGTAAATAGGATAAAAAGCAAGGGAAGAAAAGAAGAAAAAAGAAGTATCGCTCCTCACGGAAATCTTCAACAAGCTCAACTTCTGAATCAGAGTCAGACAGCAAGGTAAATATAAAGATGTGTTACCCTTGGCAAGTTTTCTTGATCCGTGTTATAAAGACAAACACTTCTGACTTCTGCATGTTGTTGTTTTTTCATATTCCAAATTTAAACCCATGCATTCTTAAGTAGATGAGCTGCACTTCCAGGTGCAATCAGGAATCTACCTGCAGTGGCCAGAGTGCCTGGCAGAAATAATTTGAGCTTTAGAAAATGAGCATGCTTTATTCCAGCATTTTTTAGTCATTTTTCTGAATTCAAATACATGCAGATTTTCTGCTGCTCAAATGTTTAGTTTTAATACTACAATAACTCTTAAAAAACCAAAATGTTCTGTGAAATTCTTGTAAGTGTGCTATTTAATCGAACACTGCCTATGAAAATACAGATATTACAGGATATCAGTGGCCAGAATATTAACTTTGTAAATATCTGTGGACATATGCATATTGAATTGAGGGTGTCTTTGTCCTTTGTCCAAAAGTACATACACAGGCATACGAAATGAACAAAAAATGGGGAAGACACATGAGGCAAATTTTTCTGTTCTGTTAGCATTTTTCTGTGTTACAGTGGATAGCAACAGTACTTCTTGCCTAAATATTAATAAAACAGCAAGTCATGAAGATTTTATATGTAGACTTTATCACAGGCTTTCACTGTAATACCTAATTCAGCATAGTATAAATTGTGATGAATCACTCTTTGCCTATGAATTTATGCTAACGTGAGTTTGAAAACTCTTGCAACATAGAGGTATCCTTACTGCTGAAATTGGAAGGCAGAAAGCCATGAAAATACCTGCTCAACTCCTGCCCAATCAGACAAGATAGGTATGGACAGAGAATAAAGACTCCAGACTGTTTCATGTTGTTAGGTTATAAGGTTAAAGTAATGATAGCTGGTATCCTTTACAGAGGCTCCCTGTGTACTGCAAGTACCTCTCACACTGCTGGTTCAGGAAATTAGCAGCTGTGTCAAAATGACAGCTTTTTCATACTTTTCCTATTAGCTGCAAGGTAGAAAGAACAACTTTGAAGACCTTCAATAAACAGAAAAGACAATGGGTTAGACTGCTTTTGGGATTTTGACCTTTTTCCTGACATAATTTTCTCATGTTTTTCTTTCTATTTAGGACAGCACAAAAAAGAAAAGGTCAAAGGAAGATTATGAAAAAGAGAAGGTACTCTTACTCTTGAAATACATTAGAACTGAATTTTACAGCATAATGGAACTCTAGTTTTTTGGGGGGGTTTATTTTGTTAAGTTTGTGCATTGTTAGTTTTTTTTAATATTGAATGCCTCAGTTAACACCTGTGGAAATTTTCTGTCCAAAACTACACAGTCAGAAGTTGTTCAGTACACCCAGTTTGAGGTAGACTTTTGCTGGTGGAAACTGCTGTATCTGTTCTTGTTATGAAGGTAAATTAAAACAAGTATCTAATCTACTCCAGTAGATCAGCTGCATTCTAATATTTTGGGTTTTATCCTGAGCAGTCCATTTGAGCTACAAGTATGGTGGTATTTCAGTGGAATGCCTGGTAGGGTGCCAGCTTGTTGCTGTAAGTTAGGAACATTGAGCACAGGATACATTCACTTAAATGTAGTCATAAATAATGTATACTGTACTTAGGATGGCTTTGAAAAACTGCAGAGAAAAACATAACCTAACAATCCTTTCAGTCCACCCTGGCCTTTTTCTCCAGTTACCTTTCATATCACCTCAGCCTTTACTTCTCCAGTCAACAGTATTTACTTTGACGTACAAATTCTCCATTGCATAAGACAAATGTGTTGAATTTTTTTTTTACCTTGCTCCTGATCCCATTTAACATAGTTTCCATTTCCCACCAACTTCTTTTGAGTAGCTTCTCTTCAAAGGCCACGTGTCTACCATAGCCTCTTGGTTAAGCTGTAATGTTACAGTTCACAGATCTGAAAGCAAAGGGCATTCTGGGGACTAGAGGTCTTCCCCTGTCTCAACATGACTTGTCTGTCAAAGGGGCTGTATCGTGTATTTTTCATGGGTACTTTTGGGAAAGGATTGAGGTGTCTGAAATAGACTAAACTGCACATCTGAGGTCTGTGGTCCCACCTTACAAAAAGATGATTAGCAAGATTTTTTCAGTGTCTGGCCTTAGAAATTGAATGGAAGAAAGTAGCTTCAGTCTTAGGAACACCTTGCCTGGTCTGGAGCAAAGGAAGGGAGGCACAGAGAGAAGTAGCTCATCAGAGCAATCTCATGCAGCATCAAAATGTTAAAAATAATTTTTAAAAAGAGGCTGTCCTTTAAATATGCTGAGATTTTATATGAAGTGTTGAAGTATAGCTGGCAGGGACAGTCTGTCCTAGTTGGACACAAATATAGAGGAAGCTTTTGACTTCATTAACAAAGCTAGAGTCTGAAGCTGCAGGGTTGGTATGTGCATATTGAGACATCTTCACTTACTCAGTGGCATTTAAAAGTGGTGAAACATTTTTATTTTCAAATGCTTACTCCTTCATGTGGTATTATTTTGAATAAGAAACTGTACATACACTGCAGTATTATTCCTCTCACTTTTAGAAGCCTGGTGTGTCTTGGTAACAAAATGAAGAAACATACAGAAAAAAACGATTTCCACTAAAGCATTTTTATAGTTGGTAGGGTAATTTGTTGATTATGAGTGATTAGTTTAGTGTCAACAGTATATAAAAATATTTCACAACTTAGAAATGCTATTTCAAGCTAAGTTTTAAGCACAAGTTTTATAACATTTGAGAAGTCTGACTTTATTCACAAATATGTTACTTTGTGTAGGAAGGCAAAAATCACCGCAGGAAAAGGAAGAAAGCTGATCGTGGTGATGGACCTTTATCATCAGAATCCCTGTCAGAATCAGATCAGACAGAGGAGGTCTGTGTGAAACCTCGGTTTCAGATGTTATAATGCTCTCAGCTTTCATGATTCCCATGACTGAATGAATGAACTAGCTCAGATGTAGTATGTTCTTGACACTGTACAGTTGAATTTAAGAGTGCAGCTCATTCGAAGTTGTTTGTATTTTTCTCTTTAATCAAAGCTTTCTATAAGAATTGTTTAGTGCAGCTCTTGTCACCTCTGGGTCATTTTGAATTCATTTTCTTGAACGTTTTAAAGTTTTAATCGATATTTTAGAGCTTGGTGAAATGAGGCAAAGTGATTGGTGTGGTGTCCTTCACAAGATTCCTCTCTGATCTTTGTGAAGAGGTTGGCAGATTCCAAGATGGCTAAGAATTTTTGCCTCCCTTTTCCATTGAATTAAAAATTTTTTGATATAATAATCTTAGTCTCACCCTAGTGGTATATCTACTTAGAGGATGTGCACCCTTGCAAATCCTTGGAAAGATTCTAATGTGTTGCATTTTCTCCTTAAGAATTCTTGCCACATTACTAGCTTAGTCATTTTACCATTGCATCTTTCTTGTTCTGCTATGTATAATAGTGTGTTCCCAAATCGGGTGTTGATAGGATAATGCGTATTCTAGGATTTAACCCAGATAACCAGTGTTTCATCATGGGTTATTTTTCAGTATGTTCTACCACTGTTGTGCCATCGTTCATTTATATATAACAAAAGCTCAGACTTTTAAAACAGCATTTCCAAAGCTGCTCTCCTGTTACGTTTTTTTGTTTTCCATTTAGGTGCAAGCAAAAAGGAAGAAAAACAGTGAGGAAAAAGATAAAACAGCAAGTATCCTTCTTTACTCATTCTGTAGTTTTGGGATATAAATGTTTTATACTTGGTTAGTTACCAATTTCATATTTTTCAGGAATACAAATGTTTTATAGCAAAGTGTGCTGTCCTGTGAATCTAAATCAACTATTTTTCTATTTACCTGCTGAAGTCAGTTTTTCAAATTGTTGAATTCAAGAAAGAATTTGTTGCTGCTTTACCCATCTAGATAATATATTATTTGAGATTTATGTAAGTTTAACACTTACTGTAGTGTATTTTTTATGTATCAACCTACTAGCACTGCTAATATCTGTATGGTGTCAGGTGGGGTGGCAGTTTGCCTCACAGACATCAGTGCAGTTCCTTTGTTAGTGTTGTGTAAAATTCTTCCTTGGTAAGCCCCTTGTACCTTGAAAAGAGCCTTAGGACATAATTGCTGCAACTTCTATACTAACGTAATTCTTCCCCCAACAAAATGAAATGCTCTCAGCAACCAGTTACTTTTCTCAGCTTTGGTGATTTGTTTCTGTTGGTAAAAGTGAGAGCAGTGATTTATATAGAATCCAAAACCATCACATGTCCCTGAGGCTCCACATTTAGGAGTACAGTGATTTTGAGATCTGAAATACCTGCTTGAGATGTCTTTGTGTCTTTCCATCTTCCCTGTCAGCAACAGTCAGCCTAACTAGACATCTCAGTTGTCTAGATGAGTTAGGGCAAAGGGAGGGCTTACATTACTCACCTAAACATGCAAGCACAGGAGTATCAGTGATACTCAATACCTGTTTTCCGTGGAACTTGTTGTTTTCATAATCATACAAGCTGTTTGCCATAAAACTTCTAGTGACTGATTTTGGGGTTTTTCTTAAAATAATTTTTTGTGTAAGTAATAAGTGCTTACTCTAAGTATTTACAAAGTACTTAAAAAACAAAGCTTTTGTACCAAAATTGTTTTGTTTTCATAATGCCACACCTATTCAAGAATACCAGTTGAAATTCTGCTTGCAAAAAACAAAGTTGTGTCTCTTAGCTTCTGTATTACAGTGATCAGGATAATAACTTCAGGCCTGAATCTAGTAGTGTCAATTGAGTGTATTCATATTTACAATGTATATCATCATTGTTTTACTTGAAACAATGGGCAAGTGCTGGGCATTCTAACCAAGTGTAGTTGAACTGTTTAATTTTACACAGTAAATACAAGCACTTACTTTGAAATCTGTAAAAATCCTTGTTATTCCCACGTACTTAAGATGTCACTGCTTGTAAAATCACTTCCGTATTACTTTCTCAGAAAGCTATAAAGCACTGAAAATCATTTGAAAGAATAGGAAATGTCATAGTGACAGTGATGAGTTGTGAAATAGCCAGACCATGACAGAGATAAATCGAAGACTGCTCATAATAGTGCAAATTACTGGATAAAATATGAATTCTCTCTTTGTGATTTCTCAAAAGGCTTTTATAGAAATTTCTTTTGAAATGTCTTTGTAAAGATATCCTTTCTGTGCTTTCATTTTGCATTACCAGAATTTAATAGATGGCAATTTTCTCATGCAATAACTTCCATCTAATTTATTATTTTTTTAGGATAAAACAAAAAAGAGAAAGAAGCACAAGAAACATGGTAAAAAGAAGAAAAAGAAGATTGCTGGTTCAAATTCAGATTCAGAATAATATTTACAAAAAAAACCCAAGACTATCAACAGAAGTGCAATGACTAAAGGAAACTTAAACTGTGAAATGACAGCAAACTTTACCAAACTGCATGAGTTTTCCTGTGTTTAAGAAATACTCCTAATCTTTCAGTAGCCAGCTAGATGCAGCTGTGCTGGAAAAGACCATTGTTGTTGCCTGCTGCTTAATACATGAGGTACAACTTTTATAAAATTCCAGTAAGCAGTGTTAGATGTTTGGAACAATGCGAGATGGTAGTCCAGCTGAGATGTAAAATATTGGAAAATAAAGAGTTAAATTTTTAGATAGTAAAAGTAGTCTTTCAAAGCATTAGTAGTAGTCTTTATTTGTAAATCAGGACAAATAAAATCCCAAGTTCATCCTGCAGGTTAATATTATACGTAAACTATTGCAAGCTGGCATCTGCTAATGGCATTTCCAAAACGGGAAATTAATGATAACATTGAACATGCTGCCTTTGTAGAAATGTTGATCATCTGCCCCATTACCCTCTTCATGCTTACAAGAAAGGGAATGCTACCATGCTGGCTAACTGGATAGGGTGCCTTTGCCTTTGATCCTTGCAAATCTCGGCTATATTTAATCCATGCAGCATCTCTGATTCTAGGGAAGCCAGAGCTGTTGTCAGCAGACTTTTCTGAATAAGCAGTTCTGGGCTTCTAAGCATGTGCTTCTGCATTAAGCAAGAGCAATGACAGTTTGCAGTATAACTGACATTCAAACCTGAAGATTTTACCTCTGCTTCGTTGAAACAGCGATGGATCTTTGCTAGTAAATACGCGTATTTCATTTAATGTCCTTTTGGTTTTGTTGAACACTTCTTGCAAACACTGGTAGCTTTCTTTGCATTATCTTCAGAATTGTTTCGCATGATTCGTAGCATTTTTAAATTAACAAAATGCAGGTAATCACTTGTTGTAACCAGTTCTATGAATTACGTTCCATGTGCAGAGTTTCATGTATGTATTTAGTTATTTTTATAGTTAAGTTCATTGCTGTGTTTAAGTGCACACTTGCTGAAGATACTTAGCATGTAAAAAGCAGGGGTTTGATACCTTAACAGCTTCATATTGAAGCTGATTTACTCTAAGCAAGTTAAGTGGCAGATCTGTTACGTGGTGCGTCTTGTTAGATAAAAAGAACTACTGCCAGAATCTCATTAAAGATACTGTTTAAACAGTTTGTATTTATATTTTTGTACATGAGGGCTACAGATTGTTCACCTAAATCACAAAACTGTTTTACTTTAATTAGTTGCTTCAAGAGCTGAAAAAAAAAGTTTTTATAAATTAAATGTGCATGCAAGAAAACACAAGCAACCATTCAATTTTAGTTTTTACATGAAATTCTCATGGTATCTTCCACCCATTTCTGGGCCTCCTGTTAGCCTTTGACAACTGCCCGTCCATCCTGAGTGGTCAACTATAGATTGTACTCTTGATTCACCCCCTTTTTCCTTGCACAGGTGCTAACTTAGAACTTAATCTCTGTTGCGTACAGATGTTTCAAATATTGTATTGCCAAGAATTTCAAGACCTTTATTATGTATTATTAGTCTGCAAACCGTGACTAAAAAATGGGGGAGAAAGGTGGTATTTTATTGCCATTCCACAGAAAAACTGACTTTTCAAGTCAAGTTCTTGGGAAAATACAACTGTTGAGTTGTAGCAATGTTCCTCTAAACCATAGTAAGAATATTTTTATCAAATATTTGATACCGTAGGGCTTGATGTTACCAATTATAGACACTGTTTTGTCAGCGAGGTTAAAATAAGGCAAGATGCAGTGAAAAGTAGGGCTTTGGTTTTGGGTTTGTGTTTGGTTTTGTTGGGGTTTTCTTCTTAAGTTGTGGTGTTGCAGCTTTCAGAAAAGAACTTGTAATGAACCATAGCATAAACAGTGTCCTGTGTGATACCTTTTTTGACTTTTACACAACTGCCTGCAACAGAAGGAAATAAAAATGGAAATTACAGCCCCGGTCTTCCAAATGCATAAGTCGGTATGTCATTTTAATTGTCTGAATGTAACTGTTCTGGTCAGCTCTGTGTGCTTGAAGCGCTGCTGTGAGGCTGTGCAAGCGCTGAAGCTGCCCCAGGGCCTTACCGCCTTGGCCAGATCACAGCAGATCTGCTTTAATACTGGCTGAAATGCTTATGTTCCCGCTCGTCTTGCATCCTGTTTGTTTTCTCTCCCGGAGGAGGAGTGAAGTCTGGTCACAGCCCTTCACTTGCTTGTTTGCACAGGCCAGTGCCTGGCAGGGCGGGCTGGGGGGGGCCCGGGCAACCCACGGACACATCCCAAGACTGAGCAGCGGGACAAAGAAAATCAGTAATGCGAGAATAAAATTATTCTAAGAGATTTCTGCCTTCTGACAGCAGATGAACAAATAGTGTTGTATGTAGTATTTAATGTTTAGCTCTTCCTTTCCAGGGACGTTTCTGGAAGTCTGAAATTCAGCCATTTTCTTTTCTGTAGCGGCCGTTGTTTTAATCCGGGACCAAAACGCCTCTTGGTTCCGTGTGCTCCTTTGGGACGGCCGGTGCAGCGGCAGGTCCCGCGTTGCCAGGGCAGGCCCCGCGTTGCCAGGGCAGGCCCCGCGTTGCCCCGCGTTGCCGGAGCAGCAGGAGCCGCCATGAGGAGCCGCCAGGAAGGAGGAGCCGCCATGAGCCGGCGGCGGCAGCAGGCGCAGAGCGTGGG